TATCTAGCAGCTCCTAAATACTCAAGTTTTTCTTACTTTAATATCTAATAGCTCCTAAATACCTAAATACTTTTTACTTGAGTATTTAGCACCACCTAAATACCTAAGTATTGTTTACTTGGGTATTTAGCAGCTCCTAAATACCTAAGTAAATAGTACTTGGGTATTTAGCAGCTCCTAAATACCTAAGTAGATAGTACTTTGGTATTTACAACAACACAAAATACCTAAATACTTTTGTACTTAGTATTTAATACTAAGGGCTGTTTTCACCATCTCTGGTTAACACTAATCCCCAGTTAAACATTGTTACCGACGTTACCGACCCAATGTAAAGTGAATGGAGAAAGAACCGTCGGTAACGATGTTTAACTGGGGATTAGTGTTAACCAGAGATGGTGAAAACGGCCCTTAGTAAATACAATTTTGCCCATCACTGATTTAGCTTTACATAAAAGCGGTACCGCTACTAGCGTTGAGAATAGCGTTCGGTATGCTACGGTCGTAATATTACGGAACCGCTTTTCAAGGAAACCAAAGCTTAACTGGCACACTTTTAAAAACACATACCAAACAAACAATTATATTGTTTATACTGTCACTCACAGAAGTATTCGTAAATTAGTTTTTTTACATTATTCAAAATGTTTTCCATCATAAATCGTTTTCACTGTTTTTTTTATTGAGCTTTATACCACGATTAGTTTATTAGGAAAAATGGAAAAAGCAACAAAGTCTAAGCGGTAGAAGTTATAGTAGATATTTCGGAGATCACCACATCTCCTCGTCAGACTTCTCTTTTCTAGACTTCAGCAGAGATCGAACCCGCGTCATTGATGTACAAAGTCAGAAGCGTTAACCACTGAGCTATGCACACCCCGTAAACTCGTGTCGCTAATTAATTTTCCGTTGCTGTTGTCAATTCTATACATGCATTTGCTTTTTTGCATAGTTTCAGGCAGGCTGTTCCTAAACTATGTATTTGTCAATGTCATTGTGTCTTATTAACATTTAATTTTAATGTTTTTTTTATTGAGCTTTGTACCACGATTGTTTTATTAGAAAACATGTAAAAAACCAACAAAGTCTAAGCGGTAGAAGTTATAGCAGCTATTTCGGAGATCACCACATCTCCTCATCAGACTTCTTTTTTCTAGACTTCAGCAGAGATCAATCCCGCGTCAGCGATGTACAAAGTCAGAAGCGGTAACCACTGAGCTATGCACACCCCGTAAACTCGTGTTGCTAATTCATTTTCCTTATTTAACCAACTACTATCAAGTGCAACTGATTTGCCGCTATTTAAATTTGACAGCGTAGTTGTTGTTGTCAATTCTATACATACATGCATTTGCTTTCTTGTATAGTTTCAGGCAGGCTCTTCTTAAACTGTGTATTTGTCAATGTTATTGTGGCTTATTAACATTTAATTTTAATATTTTTTTATTGAGCTTCGTACTACGATTATTTTATTAGGAAAAATGGAAAAAGCAACAAAGTCTAAGCGATAGAAGTTATAGCAGCTATTTCGGAGATCACCACATCTCCTTATCAGACTTCTTTTTTCTAGACTTCAGCAGGGATCGAACCCGCGTCATCGATGTACAAAGTCAGAAGCGTTAACCACTGAGCTATGCACACCCCGTTAACTCGTGTTGCTAATTCATTTTCCATATTCCATTTATTTTTCCATATACAAATGGGCAACACCATCGACAAAAAAATAAAATAAAAAAAATCAGTGGTAATTTTTAGCTACTTGAAACTTGCACTTTATTATACTAAAATTGAAACGGGCTACAAATCTGCATACTGAAAATTTTTCTAAAAATTCTGAAAAAGTTTGAAATTTTGATGAAAAATTTTTGAAGTTTCTTTTAGGCATTGCCGGCAATGCAAAGGAGAATGTCCTACAATATTTTATTTATTTCGCTTCTTTATTTCATTTCGGGGAGTGCAAAGTAGAATGTCCTATAATATTTTTTTTTATTCGCTTCTTTGCTTCATTTCGGGGAATGCAAGGTAGAATGCTCGTAGTCAGCTGAAAAATATAATGAATATCCAAAAATTCTTTCTCTACCGTTACTTTCTGTGGAAATTTGTCTTGCATTAGGGATGTTAATTTTTCAGCCTTTTCCAATCCCGGGATTTTCGGGATGTCGTTATCACATTCCCTGGATCCCGGGATTAGTCCCGGAACTTGGATATTCATTACTTTCCAACAACTTAAATCGAAAAAATTGCTTCTATATTGTTCGAGAAGCTCTCTTACCATAAAATAAATAATAAATAAATGGGTTTCAAACCTAATTTTTTATTTAAAGTGGCATTTTTATTTTTTCTCTCTGATGCCGGGATTTATTTTAAAGCACTTTTTAATTTCAAAGATATGATAAATTCCAAAAATTATTTAAAAAATTCAATGCAATGTAGAATAAAAATATGGGTACCAAATACAAGAGGAAATTTCTTTAGCATCTAAAAAAAAATTTTGGATTCACAATGACGAATAGGTACTTTTTTAAGCTTATAAAGTTAGAAGGGTGAAATTCGAGGTTGTTATCGAGTTTATATAAGTCCTTAACATATAATTTTTTCAAAAACAAATGTTGCGAATTTTCAAGGATAAAATTTTAAAAGGACTTTTTCAATACTTACCAGTCCTTCTGCACCAAAAACTTGAATCCGTTTCAATTCTGCAGGATTTCCTCTTTAATTTTATAACCATACTTTTTCTGTAAGCACATTTCTCTGAATTTGTTAAATCAATTTTGAATTAGTGACGTCAGAGTGAAAAACTAATGACGCAATTTTACTATATTTGGCCCATGCGTTCGATATATATTGATATTTGTTTTAAAAATTTACTATCGCGTGGTGTTGTATATATAATGAGCTAAAAATGCATAAAAAATATTAACTATTAAATAAAAAACGAAATATAGCCAATACCAGTCAAGAAAAAAAGTTTCAATTATTGCCGTCAGTGCAAATTACAAATCCCGGGATTATGTGCCACGAATCCCAGGATTTTTGGGACCTTAAAAAGGCCGGGAACAGGGATCCCGGAATCCCGGGACTAATATTCCTAACTGGCATAAAAATCATCTTTTGCTTTGTTCAATTTGCAGCGAAGTTGAAGTCAGTCAATGAAGTGAGGTACAAGAGTGAGGAAGTACAATTTCAAGCTTAATTAAATATGCATGTATGTACATACCGAATTTTAAGTAAAATCCAAATACCTAAATACATACATATGTATGTATAAAAACTGTTTTATAAAATTGTTATTTATTTTAACCCTTAAGACATTTTCTTATTTCAATTTAATATAAATAAGTATGTACTTTAGACTGCATCACTCCCCATACAAAAAAAAAAATTGGTACTGTTTTTCCAATGGAATTATAAAACCTATTATATTTTAGGACGTCCACCCAAATATTTGGAAAAAATATTCAGGGCTGTCATGGAATCCAAGTCGGTTTTGCATTTTGTCGGAATTACAAACCAATTTTGGTTTCATTTGGTGTCATGAAACCGGATTGGTTTTGCTCTTTTCGAACATAAACAAAACCGATGTTCGAATCAGCTGTCTTGCACATTTGTGTGTATAGCGATAATTTGAATGTATATTTTTTTGACACAATTTTATAAAATTGAATTGTTTTCATTAATTAAAAAAAATAATAAGTGAGCGCAAAATGACATCCGCAGTTGTCGCATTTCTCTTATTGGAAGAAGAAAGTTCCGAGAAAGTTAAAAGAAAAATTTTGAGAGATTGCAGCAATCCACTTGAGCTGCCTGAGACAGCGTAAGTAGATTGTTTTTTAATGTGCGTTTATAAATATTTATAGCGTATTTGCAGTTTCATAGCATATTATCGCCTAAACAAAGAGGCTTTCCGAATGGTGCTTGACACCATTGAAGGGCACTTGACACGTTCGAAAGTTCCACCAGTGCTGCAGTTAGCACCTTCGTTGCGATTTTTAGCTGAAGGATCCTATCAAAGATCAGTCGGGAACGACTCTAGCATAAGTGTAGCTAGAAGCACGGTGTCAACGATTTTAGATGATGTGCTTAAGGTTATGGAGCGGTTCATTTGCCCTCAGTGGGTGAAACTAGAAATGGACGGCACCGAAAAACGCAGATCAAGAGACTATTTTTACTTAAAGTACAAAATTCCCTCAATAATTGGTTGCATCGACGGGACACACATAAAAATCATCAAGCCGAGTATTGACGAACATTTATTTTATAATCGAAATTGATATTTCAGTATGAACGCCATGATTGCAAGTAATAATGAATCTTCATTTTACTCGTACATTGCCTTGTAAAACTGATTTATATATATGTATGTACATTTTTATTTAGATTTGTGATGGTCACATGAAAATTCGAGCGGTCGATGCACGCTATCCCGGCTCTAGCCATGACTCATTCGTATGGAACGTTAGTAGCGGCAGACAATATTTCCTCAAGAAGTATGAGTCAGTTGACCGGACATCAAAGTTGTTAGGAGATTGTGGATATGGCATAGAACCTTTTTTATTAACACCATACAGAGATCCACGCTACAACTCCAAAGAATATAAGTTCAATTTGGCCCATTCATCGCTCGAAATATTGTGGAGCGAACAATAGGAGTGCTGAAAAGCCGATTTCGCTGCTTATTGATCACCTTGCACTATCGGCCAGAAAAAGTGGTGAAAATTATAAATGTTTGCTGTGCGCTGCACAATATCTGCAGAAACTACAACGTGGAATATAACGACGACAGTATTACTTTACCATCAAATGATACTGATGAAAATGTTGAATCTCCACCGAACGCAACACTGCAAAGTGAAGGTAAAAGGATGAGGGATGAAATAGCCAACAGTTTATAGCAAACCAACTGAATAAAAATTCAAATATTTATTTATTAAAAAATAAAAAACACATATTTATTTATTTAAAAAACACGCATATATATTCATTAAAACAAAACAAAAATTCATTTAATAAGTAAATACATTTTTCTAGAACTTATATAACTATTTATAACAATAAAATAAGGCACATTTTTAGGTACTATAACGACCACAACCAACACTTTTTTGACATTTTTTAAAAGGGAAATTACTTTTCTTTCTGTTTTTCGTAATCAAACTTTAGGAGTTCGAGCTCGAGTTGCTTTTCTTTTATTTCGTTTTTTTCCTGTATCGCTCGCAAAACACCTGTATTAATACGGACAAATTCATCCTTGAGCTCAATTACTGCATTCGCGACAGATTCGTTGCTTTTTTTTATGGCTCTATACACTCGTCTGAGGCTACTGTCGTTTTCTTTTTCAATCTTAATTAGCTCGTTCAATTTTTCATTTATTTCGAGCTTTCTCTCGTTGTCTTCATCGAGAAATTGTTTCAAACGCTTCCCAGTACTATCTGTCCTTTGTCTTTTAGGAGTGCTGCTGACTGGAGACATTGGCCGCTTCGATGATGTTGATGGCATTTCATCCTCACTTGCACAAACTAAATCTTCGCTGAGGCCAACTGCATTGCCAGCCACACCAACCACAGACTGTGCAATGCCACATATGCGCACTATTGTCTCTTCCGTTTGCGTTAGTTGGTGCTTAGAAAAGGGTCCTCCACCAGTTGCTCGAGACTCGCTTTTGTTTTGTGCGAGCTTTCTTTTTATGTCACTTTTCTACTCCGTCCACGTCTATACATATGTATATAAAAAACAGTGTAAGTTTAAGGCACGATTTAATTTATAGCACCAATTATGCTTTACCTTTTTCCATCCATTGGTATCCTTTTGTGGTGGACCTGCACTGTTCAGCGACTCAACTAAACTGTTGCCAAAGGGCATCAACAGTTGGTTTATCCCGCTTTGTAAAGCCTCTCGCAATATCTGGATATTTCTCCATAAATTCCACGATAATGCTGTTTTGAGTTGCATTTTTATGCTTTCCCCTAGTTATGAATAAAAATATGAATACATTAATTATTATTTTTATAAAATAAACCTTCTTTTACTCACATTTTTATAAAATGTCTAACTGGAAGTAAGAAAAACTAATAAACAAATGAAATCCAAGAGCTGTTAGCTGCTTGGTTTGTTTCCGATAGCAAAATCGATATTATTGATTTCTGTGACACCTAAAATCGACACTAATTCCGATTTGAACATAAAACCGATAACATTGGATTTCATGACACCAAAATAATTTTTTTGTCGTTTTCATATCCAATTCCGACAACAATTGGATTCCATGACAGCCCTGATTAAGATTTAAGTGAGCTGGACCGATTTGAAAATACCTCCAAAGATGGAGCTTTTTATGAATAAAAATAGTTTCTTAAAGATTTTTTTTTTGAAAAAATCCCCTCAAATGACAAAACGGTTTAAGCTTAAAAAAATTGCATAAAAATATATTTAAAAAATTGAAAAAAAATTTTGAACGAAATCGTAATAATAAGATTTTTGATGCTGTTTTTAACTTTTTTCAAAGATTGGTATAAGGAATACTTGAATAACTGAGCCTAAACTCTCCCGATTTAGACTTGTGAGATATCGTTGGAAAGGTATTTTCTCACCCTTTTTATTTCTTTGTTAATAAACTCATTCAAAGGATGAAAGAGAAAGGTAGGATGAACGAATATCATGCAAAGTTGAATTAAGATGTGTTGGTATTCAAAAAAAAATATTGGACACGAACGAATTTTTTTGCACATAAATAAAAAATAGTGGGAAAATACCTTTCTACCGAGATCCCATAAGTCTAAATTTTTTTCTTATTATAACTACTTGCATTTATTTGTTGGATCTGCTTATTTTACATCTATTAAGCCTATCAACAAGTTTAAAAACCTTACGTCTAATTTTACAATAATGTAGCTCAAACCCTGGGGTTGAGCCCTGTTGGTTTAACGTCGCTCAATTAAAGGCTGGTAGATCTCTTCTTCGCAGGCGTGTTATATTTGTTGTGTTGCACAGGCCACTTGCCAGTGGATTTGGGTGGTTACGCAGTTTTATTTTNTCATTTGTGTAATCTTGGTTGATATGTGTTTGCGCCAAGTTAGTCTCCTATCCAAGTGTATTCCTAGATATGTCACCTCATTAGCTTGTGGAATATGGACATTATTTAATTTGATTGGGGGCATACTTGCGGTCTGAGTGAAAATGTTGTATGTTTACTCTTCTGTTCGTTAACTTTTATGCGCCAGTTTGCCAGCCATTCTTCTATGCGTAGTAAATGTTCCTCTAGTACTCTTGAAGCTCTGTTGGGACATTTATTACTAAGGCAGTATCATCAGCGAAGGTGGATGTGAGTATATTCTTGGTAGTTGGAGTATCTGAAGTGTAGATGATATACAGCATAGGCCCGAGTACACTACCTTGAGGAACGCCAGCCGTTATCGACATGTCTTCTGAAGTGGAATTAGATACTTCAACAGCAAATTTTCTGTTAGTTATGTATGATTCAAATATTTTGTGGAATTCCGGCGGCAACAAGTTTTTTATTTTATATATAAGACCGTCGTGCCACACTTTGTCGAATGCTTGTGCCAAATCGAGGAAAATTGCAGAGCAGTACTCTCTGAGCTCAAATGCCCTTCTGATTTCATTTGTAATTCGATTAACTTGTTCAATTGTACCATGTTTTTCTCGGAAGCCAAATTGGTGTGCTGGTATTAAATTGCGTTCATGGAGAAAGGGAGATATCTTTGATAGGAGTACTTTTTCGAATACTTTGGAAAGACAGGGCAGTAAGCTTATTGGTCTGTATGAGGACGGCTGTGTTGCGTCTTTTCCAGGTTTGGCTATCATGATTATCTTCGACCTTCTCCATGATTTCGGAAAGTAACCGAATTTGAGGATAGCGTTGAAAAGGTCAGAAAGAATTGCTTGTGCAACATTCGGTAGCTCTATTAGCATTTTCGGAGTTATAAAATCAGCACCCAGCGATTTCTTTGGATTAAGCTACTTTACTAAAGCTTTTACTTCTAAAGAGTTCGTCTTGCTAGGTGTGTATAGCTCATTTGTATTTTTGGTTAGCCGTGGCAGCCTGAAGTTGTTCGTTGGACAGTTTGGCTGAAACACATTCTTTAAATGGTGTGAAAAACACTCGGCTCTCTCCTGCTCACTACGAGCCCAGGTTCCACATTGGTTCCTAATTGGCATTTCTGTAGCCACTGGTGGTTTGAAGTATTTTAGCGATTTCCATAGAGAGTATCTTTCAGTAGAATTCGGGGAAAGCTTCTTAATGTACCTTTGCAAGTTGCGATCCTCTGCACGTTTGAGTGCTTGTTTCAGTTTTCTACTGGCAGCTTTATACAGTAGCTGTGAGGTTGGTGAGCGATGGCTCTGCCACTGTCTTCTTAGGCGCCGCTTTTCTGCCACAAGTTTTTCTATTTCGGTATTTGTAACTGATGTATGCGTAGGTGGTACTTGGACTTGATTTGGTGTTGCCAGGCCAGCGGCTGTAGTAAAGGTTTCTTTAAAATGTTCAACAAGGGAGTCTATATCACGCTCGCAGTTAAGTGCAGCGTTTAATTTAAGGTGACTACTGATGTACTTTTTATATTTAAGCCAGTTGGTGTTATTTGAAGTTAGACGAGGCTCAATTTCGATGTTTTGGGTCTGTTCATATAGTTTTATTAATATAGGGGAGTGATCGGATGATAGTTCAGGTAGAGTTTCTGCTGTTATGTTATTTCTGTATATGTTTCTTGTAATTGCGAAATCTATTAGGTCTGGTATCTTCTTTATATCGGTAGGCCAGTAAGTAGGTTTACCAGGAGATGTGACCTCTAGTCTATTGTGCCTGTTTATAATGGTATTGTATAGCTGCCGCCCTTTTGGGTTAATAAGGCGTGATCCCCAGTACGTATGCTTTGCGTTGAAGTCGCCTCCTGCCAGGAATCTATTACCCAGGCTATCAAAGAAATCTTTAAAGTCATTTTCAGAAATTAAAAATCGCGGTGGGCAATAAATAGCCGATAGATTCAAGTCTCGGTCGCGGTTTCGTAAGCATATGGTAGTTGCTTGCAGACAGGCTGTTGCTTTTGACTCTAGAATATTGTGCTTTAGACGATTTCTAATCAGCACCGCTGTGCCTCCATGAGCTTTACCATCTGGGTGATTTGTGGCATAGAATTTGTATCCAGGTATGGAGAAATTATATTTATTTGTTAAATGTGTCTCGGACAGTAGCATAACATCTATGTTGTATTCAGTGAGAAATTGACTGAGTTCTAATCTACGCTGGTTTACACCGTTAGCATTCCATAAGCAAATTTTCAATTCACTCATTTTTTATTCACTAAAATTTGCAACAATTGGTTTTGAGCCTTTATGAGGTCTTGAATCATATTTTGCATAGTAGACATGAATTGAGTCATACAATGAGTAAGATTCAATATCATTCCTTCTATGCCACAAGTAGGGGGGTTCGGCTGCATTTGCTCAGTATTATTCCTTTGAATATTTGCAAATGTTTCTTGATTGGAGTTTGATTTCGCCGTGCTTGGCTGCGTTTGTAGTTTTAACGCGTCGGCAAAAGAAACGTTGGGAACTCGCTGCGCATTGGCAAAAAAGGCTCCTGGTGTAGTGGTTGATGGCGTGAGGTGTTGGTATGTATAAGAGCTAGTTGGAGTGGTGGAAGAGCGTACGGCTGTGTTGCGCTGATTCATGCGAGACTTTAAGTCTTTGTATACAGGGCATCCCCTATAATTGGCGGTGTGGTTACCTCCGCAATTACTGCATTTCTTTACAGCCACATCATCTTTGATAGCCTTGCAAGAAGCGGAAGCGTGAAGGTCGCCACAGGCAACACACACTGGGCGCAAGGTACAGTATGTTCTGGTGTGCCCAAATTCTTGACAATTTGTGCACTGTACGGGACCGTTTCGCTTGTGCGGCTCCTCCACTGTTATTCTTCGGTGTAGAAGGTATCGTAGATTGTAGAT